ACCCATGTAGGGACCCATGAAGAGGGAACTTGGGGGGGGCAACAACGTTGATGAGTCTTGGCTTTGAACTGGTCCTCCTCCTCCTCCGCCTCCTTCTCCTCCTCCTCCTCCTCCTCCTTCTCCTCCTCCTCCTCCTTCTCCTCCTCCTCCTCCTCCTCATCCCACCCTCATCCTCCTCCTCCGCCTCCTCCTCCTCCTCCTCCCACAACCATCCTCCTCCTTCCTCCTCCTCCTCCTCCTCCTTTCCTCCTTCCTCCTCCTCCTCACTCCTCACCCTCTTCTCCTCCTTCCGCCCTTCCTTTCATCCTCCACAACCATCTCCTCCTCCTTCCTCCTCCTAACCTCCATCCTACCTCCTCCTCCTCCTCCTCCTCCGCTCAGCGCCCTCCCCCCCCCCACCCCCCGAATGTGGGCAGCCGGCGGCGGGCGCGATAGGCCAGCGCCCTGACCAGCGGGGCTGCCACGCCCAAGGTGGAGCCCGACGGCACGTGGCTCCGCCAGGGTCCTCGTCGAGGCCAACGAGCTTCGCTAGGGCACGCGGGATCCCGCGGGTGTTGGCACACATCGCGCTTGGCGTCGCTAGTGACTAACAACGCCAGACGTCCGAGTTTCACCGTAGGCCCTCCACCCTAAGGGAATGCTCAGTACGGTCGGACCGAGGTATAAGATCGAGGCCGGTTCGGGGAGGGTGCCCTACTGCTCTTCGTGTTTGTTCGATGTTCCTGTGCACAGGGGTGCACAGGGGGCCCTCGGTGATCTTATGGTTTGGGGTGTTTTGGCAGGCGGAGGGCCTCATGTTCTTGAAGAGTGTTTTTCTGTTCTAGGTCCGACCGTAGTCTGGCGGCGAATGCCCGTCAACGCTTGGCTCTTGAATGTGGTGGCCTTCCTGCCCGAATGTGCGTCCCACCTCGAGCCCAGCTGCCTGCGGCCGAACTCCGCCGCCGTGCCAGCGAGGCACTCTGCGCGGGGACCCTTCGGGCACCGCCTGGGAGGCCGTCTCGTGTGACACGCCTCGTCGTCATGTCTTGAGGAGCCTTCATGGGGCTCGTGTGGGCCGTCCGGGGACTGTCTGCGGCTCCCGTGGGGCAGTCTTGGGGTCCCTTGGGGCCTGCTTCGGCCGACTTGGGGCCCTCGTGGACTGTCGCGGGGCTTACTTGGGCCAGCTTAGGACTCTCTTGGGCCGTCCTGGGCCGCTTCTAAGCCTTCTCTGGGATCTCTATGGCTTCTTTTGGGCTTCCGAAGCTCGCAAGTGGGCCGGTCTTCCCCCAAAGAGTGCGCAAAGCGGACAACATCGAAATTTATCTTAGTGCGATCCAGGATGTCTGATTCTCGGGGGGGGGCTCCTGGATAATCAGCCTCCTGGGGTGCTTGGGGCCTCTTGGAGGCCTCTCGGGATAGATTGGGGGCCTCTTGGGGACCCTTGGGTGCGCCTGGAACCATCCTGGATAGCCTCTGGGGGGGCGGGGGTGCTTGGGGCCTCTTGGAGGCCTCTCGGGATATATTGGGGGCCTCTTGGGGGCCCTTGGGGTGCGCCTTGAATCCTCCTGGATAGCCGCTAGGGGAGGCGGGGGTGCTTGGGGCCTCTTGGAGGACTCTCGGGATATATTGGGGGCCTCTTGGGGACCCCTTGTGGTGCGCCTTGAGCCCTCCTGGATAGCCTCTGGGGGGGGCGGGGGTGCTTGGGGCATCTTGGAGGCCTCTCGTGATGGATTGGGGGCCTCTTGGGGGCCCCTTGGGGTGCGCCTTGAGCCACAACCTGGGCCCTCTCTGGCGGCTCCGGGGAGCCCTGGAGAGCGGTGCGGCGCCGTCGAGCCGCCCCACGGAGAGGGGGGAGCCTCGGGACAGGGGGAGCGGTGCACGCAAACCGCTTGTGGGCGAAGGAGGAGGAGGAGGAGGAGGAGGAGGAGGAGGAGGAGGAAAGAGGAGGAAAGGAGGAGGAGGAGGAGGAGGAGGAGGAGGAGGAGAGGTGAGGGGAGGAGGAGGAGGAGGAGGAGGAAGGAGGAATGAGGTGAGGAGGAGGAGGAGGAGGGAGGAGGGGAGGGGGAGGGGGAGGGGGAGGAGACGGAGGGGGAGGAGGAGCAGGGGGAGGAGGAGGAGGAGGAGGAGGAGGAGGAGGAGGAAGGCAGGAGGAGGAGAGAGGAGAGGAGGAGGAGGAGGAGGAGGAGGAGGAGGAGGAGGAGGGGGAGGGGGAGGGGGAGGAGGACGGAGGGGGATGAGGAGGACGGACGGAGGAGAAGGGGATGGACGGAGGAGGAGGAGGAGGAGGAGAGGAGGAGGAGGAGGAGGTGGAGGAGGAGGAGGAGGAGGAGGAGGAGGAGGAGGGGGAGGAGGAGGAGGAGGAGGAGGAGGAGGAGGA